ATTCCTGGTCAAGGGTACGTACCTAGGTTCAGGTTTGATCCCAGGGCCCAGTCGGGTTTGTGTGGGAGGTAACCAATAAATGTGTCTCTTTCACATCGATGTTTCTCTCTCTCTGCCTCCCACTCTATCTGAAGATAAATGGAAAAATATCCTCTGGTGAGGATTAACAACAACAACAAAAACAAAAACATTAGGCTCTACTTTTCGTACTTCCTAAGCAGCAACAAATTCAGTCTAAGGGTTTGATCATTCCCATTCAACTTTCTACTCTTTTAATCCTAGACTTTCCCCATAATTTTTCCTATAGTTATCTGAATTTTGTATTTAAAGAAATTAAGGTCCTACAAAAAATATTACATATAAATTATAAATATTATGTTTATGTGGCAAGATCTTTAAACAATGCATTCTGAGTTTCTAAAGTAAGTACCAAGTGTATAATTAAAAACTAATTCATTTATTGTTTTAAAATATTCCAGAAAAGAGGTGGAGAAATAGATAAGATTGGCAAAATTATATATGTGTGTGTGTGTGTGTGTGTGTGTGTGTGTGTGTGTGTGTGTGTATATATATCCTCACCCAAGGACATTTTTCCATTTTTTACTCACATAGAGTGGGAGGGAGAGAGAGAAAGAAAGAAAGAAAGAGAAAAACATCGACATGAAAGGAACACATTGAGTGGCTGCTGCAACCTGCACGACCCAGCCAGGGCCGGGGACAGACTGCAACCAAAGTACATGCCCTTAGCAGGAACCGAACCAGGGTCTCTCTGGACCGTAGGCCAACGTTCTAACTGCTGAGCCAAACTGGCCAGGGCTGGCAAAATTATATTTATAATTATTATAAAATTATAGTTGTTAATGAATATGTGGTGTATTATCAGTAAGTATTTGAAATTTTTCATAATAAAAAGTTTATTTTAAAAATAATTTCATGTATGCACTGCCTTTGGGGAGAACTTAGTTGCCAAGTCTCAATGTATACCAGTGGACTGTTCTAATCAATAGTACAAAGGTAAAGAAAAGAAAATCAATGTCTTCACCATTTCTTTTAATTATGTAAAAAAATCATATAACATGACCTTAGCCATTGTATCCACTTTTTTTTTTTTTTTAATCCTCACCTGGGGATATTTTTTCTATTTATCTTCAGATAGAGTGGGAGGGAGAGAGAGAGAAACATCAGTGTGAGAGGAATATATTGACTTGAACGACTGCCGCCAGGGACGGGGATGAACCGAAACCCAAGTATGTGCCCTTGGGCGGAATTGAACCCAGGACTCATTGATCCGAGGGCCGACACTCTACCTTTGAGCCAAACCGGCCAGGGTAATTGCATCCACTTTTTTTTTTTTAATCCTGACCTGAGGACATTTTTTCTTTTCTTTTTTTGTTCAGATAGAATGAGAGGGAGAGAGAGGAAGAGAGAGAAACATCGACGTGAAAGGGACACATCGAGTGGCTGCATCACCCAAACAGGGCCGGGGACAAACTGCAACCGAGGTACATGCCCTTAGCAGGAACTGAACCCAGGTCTCTCGGGACCGCAGGCCAACGCTCTAACCGTCAAGCCAAACCGGCCAGGGCTATATCCACTTTTAAGTGACTAGTTTAATAGTGTTAAGTATAATCACATTGTTGTACAATGGATATCCAGAAACTTTTCATCTTGCAAAACTGTAATTCCACATTAAATAAGAACTCATTAAATAACACTGGAACAACCCACTAAATAAAAACTTCTCACTTCCCTTCCCCTTAGACCTTGGCAACCACTACTCCCTGTTTCTATTAATTTGACTACTTTAAATATTTCATGTAAGTAGAATCATACAGTATTTGTCTTTTGGTGGCTGGTTTATTTCACTTAGCATAATATCCTTTAGGTTCATCCATGTTGTAGCATGTGACAGGATTTTCTTCCTTTTTAAGTCTGAATAACATTCCATTGTATAAACATGCTACATTTTTTTTCTTTGTTGCTTTATCCACCAATGGACATCTGGGTTATTTCCACCTCAAAAATCTTCATCCGAATCTATTTTCTGAGGAAATGGAAATAAAAGATGCTGTGAGAAAAACTCAACTAAGCAACAAGGAGGAAAAATGGACACGCAGTAACTGGAACACAGACTACCCACTTGATAGTCGTCACTCCAGGGCCGACAAGAAACTGGACATACCTAATAGAAATTAGTCAATGGGTCTATAAGAAACTAAATTTATTTTGTATCTACTTTTGTCTTCGAATCCCCTCTTATCTTGGTATCCTTTGTCGGTAGAAGGTAGAACTATTCAGAGGGTATTGAGAGATATAAGCACATTGCTGTTCCCGTAGTCTAGGGGTGGAGCAGTAAGCAGTGTGGTTTCACTGAGAAGAAGGTACCACGGATGGATAAGCGGATAAAAATTGGGAGGGTGTCAAATACTTCAGGCCAAGACAATTTTTGATTAATAACAATTACATTTAAATCCAAAATTTGTCAGAGCAACGGTGTTACAGGTATTCCGTGGTTTATTTTGATGATGAATTGAATAAATCCATGTGTTTTCTAAAAGGCTGAGCACAGTGTTCCATTTAGCAACTTGGAAGTTTCCTGAATGACACTGTGATACCTTGGGAGGATCATTATTTATTATTTATTAGAGAGAACGAACCTACCACGGAGGATGTAGCTCTTTAGAGGACTGTACTCCATCTGATTCCATAAAGTCCATCTAAAATCACTTGAGTTTCCTGGGAACTGAGAAGCCACTGCCATCTTATCCGGGGCCACTTCTGTATTTCGTACTTTGCATTTTGCCTCTTGTTCACTTTCTCAGCTCCCACTCTAAGGGGTCACTGATCCCTTGGGCTCATTAAATTTCTGGCTTGAACTATGTGGAGTGATTAATGGTGGTGAACCTGGTACATGTTGAGGTCATCGTGCTGAGCATCCTGTATGTCATCGACAAACACAGCAGTGCACATCCACCGACTCGCTTTTCCCCTTCGCGACTGTAATTTATTCATCCCACAGTACACTCAACCATCTGCTCGTTATTTTTCCTTTAAGCATTATTTTCTTCTATTGGCTAAGCCAGGGCACAGGTGAAAAGTGGTACGAAGCAAAGGGAAGTTGCTGTTGTTGGACACAGGAGGGGTGAGTTGAGCTCCCCAGGAGCAAGAGCATTCAGCTCCACAAAAAGGGGCCTAACTATATTGTCGAATACTTAAATCCCTGTCTAATAGGAGCGTTTGGGCCAGGCCCAATCATAACTAGCTAAGGCTAGACCCCTGGGGTGAGGAGTGTAAAGCTGGGGAATTTTAAGCATCCTTAAGAGTAGCACTGTAATAAACTGATGCTCTGAATCTTTGCTAGAGTCTGTGCAAAACTGGGCTATAAATTTTACATTTGGCTAAATGACTCATAAAGAAACACCCACCTGATTTCAGACATGGATTTTTGGCAGTCAGGGCACTCGCTAAATTAGCTATGGTTCTATTTTTAACTGCTTTCTTTCTCTACCTAAAATACAATGATTCTATCTGTACAGTTTTACAACTATACCCTCTACTGTTGCTTATTAGACCATCTCTTGGGCTGTGAGATTACTTCTTTTTTAAATACCCAAAACGCTGGAATACATTTTATTTTTTATTTTATCTATAAACTTCTGGCCCCGTAAGCTCTTTGTCACAAAAGAAACTATAATAAATACTTTATCAAAATGTATTTCAGCTTGTTGGTACTAGAACGATCTCTGTTATTACAGAGTGATAAAAATATAAAAACACTTTTTCTTCAGGAGGAGTTGAAGTATCTCTTGTCTGGGGAGGTCCAGTGTTGACTTGAGGAACTTTGGTCAAGCTGGTATTTGACCTTTGGCAGAAGGCTGCCCTGGGTCTTATATTCTCAACAAACTGGGCCCAAGACAATAGTGTGCTTTATAGCCTAGAGTCTGATCAGTGTGTTTCTCCAAGGAAGACCTCAAGCTGAAAAGCCAACATGCCTGACAAGCACCGTCAAGGTACCAAGGGCATAAGCAGTAGACATTGGAAAACAAATGGAAAAGCACACACAGCTACATCTGGAATCCTAATGGGCCGCCAATGGTTCCCAGCTAAAGGAAGAATTACCCGTGTTATTTTATCATCCCTTGCGCTAACTTTGCTGTTTATGTACAGCAATAAATGATTTTTTAAAAACATATTTGGGTCATTATGTCATATACCACCAGCAAGTAAGGTTGTTTTATTGTGCTTGGAGTCAAAATACACTGCTGTACCCAGATGGACGGGAAGTTTAAAATCTCTCGTCCTTCTGTATTCATTCCTCTTGAATAAATGAGTTAAGTTTTTAAAAGGGAAATTGAGAATTTTTATGGCTTCTACTCCCACCTCACCAGTAAAATTTGCACCAGTATTTTTCTACCCAGCAAAGGTGCTTGGCCAATGATAACACAAAATAGTAATGCAGAAAGCCAAACAGCTTCCAACCAACAGGAAATGCCAGAGATTTTTTTTTAACTCTTTTAGCAAGTTGGATTCTTCTGCCAAGGCTGTGCTATAACCAAAAAGTAACTGAAAATCAGAAATATAAAGTGAAATCCAGAGGTTCAAACTGACTCTTCCCAGGCAATGATATGTGGATTTCTTCCTTCCTTTCTGGTTACTGCGGGCATTTAAAAAAGACACCTGCCCTGTTAACTCCTTTGTCATACATGCCCAACATTTACCAACAAGATGAAATATTTTCATGGTTTAAAAAAATTCCAAAATGCCTACCTCTTTATAATGTATTGTTGCGCATGCTATTCAATCAATGATCTGGTTGGTTTCTTTCCCTACCTTTTCCAAAATTTGAAATCTCAAGTCACGCAGATCTGCTTCCATTTCATTATTAACCAAGGAAATTTGTTTTTCACATGAATAAAGTTAAGGACTTTATACATCAAGGGAGGGAAAAGAAGAGGAAAGGCTAAGAAAAGCAGATGTTCAGGCATGACTGACCCACCTACCCAGAGAACTGGTTCTTGTGTGTTTGGTTTCTGACGCAGAGGATGCTGGCTTTCCTGTTTACTTAGCTAGCCCTGTCCCTGGTTTACAGGTGGCCTGGAAAGAAGATTTAGGAAATGTTTTCTCTCTCCATAAATGAACATCAAATTATTTTACAATGTGCCCTGGTACATACATCATGACAGGTTGGAAGCTAACGACAATCTCAAAGCAGAGGTGAGGGTGGGGGTTGGGAGCGGGAAGGGTGGCTGAGCACTGAGGGACATTGTGAGGTCCATGGCTTCAGAGTTCTCGGTGAAACAAATTGTTTTAACGATTTCAAACATTTACTAAGAGATGTCATTTTGCTCTTTAGCCTGGCACACCTTCCTCGTCCCCCTCTTTGGCAGAATTCCAAGTTCTGATTACTCTTGCAACGTAACAGACTTTAATTTTTCATAAAACTCCCTTTAGTATACACTACTGAGTTCCCCAAAACCATCACCACAATTTTCCTTTTGCTACCAATTATCTGTCTTCTAAAAAAAAGCAGTTAACTGCCCAGTCAGTGTGGCTCAGGGGACTGAGCATCTTCCCATGGACTGAGAGGTCCTGGTTCTATTCCCGGTCAGGGCACATGCCCAGGTTGTGGGCTCAATCCCCAATGGGAGGTGTGCAGGAGGCAGCTGATTTCTCACATCCATGTTTCTATCTCTCTCTCCTTTCCTTTCTAAATAAATAAATAAATAAATAAATAAATCCTATTTAAAAAAAAAACAAAAACAGAATTTGATTTAAAATTTTACCCAAATCCTCTCCACAGGGAAAGCCTAAACCCACCAGCATTGCTTTCAAATGAAGAAGCTATTACTGGATAATTTATCAACTAAGGCTAGTGTTTCATCTCCTTTTTCTCCCTCTTTCATGCTAATTACATCCATCTTTTCCTTTTGTTCAATTAACAATTTGTTTTCAAAAACATCAGGGGTGCTTTCTTTCCTTTTTTCTTGCTCATGTTCTGAGCCTGTCTCCCTGACACATTTCTAGCTTACATTTCAGCAGTATCTGATTCGCATCATATTTCACATTTCCAGAGAATTTCAGAGTCACTTGCTCCTACCTCGACATTCGCTCAGCCCAGAAGTCTTCACAGATCATCTATGTCAACTCGTGTCCCTCCTCCTTCAGAGTGCTGCCAGAAATCATCTCCCAAACTAACCCCATGTGGCTTTGTTCAACCGAATAACTTCAGCAATACTGTCTGCACACTGACAGGAGAAATCACTTAGGAAGATGTTTCGATATGCTGCAGATGTTTTCTATTTTTTCCATGAGTCTTCTGCTCCTGTTATTTTGTTTTCCCATTTGCATATATCTTCTTGTTCTAATGTAAACTTAAAGCTTCTAGTGGATATGGAAAGATTGTATAATCTAATACTTTTTGTGTATTTCTTGAGTTCTCTGTTCTGTGTTCGCTATATTCTATAAAGGGAAGTCAAGACATATGGCTACCTGACTGATCTGAGTCTGAAATAGCTTTTCTGGCTATCATGCTCTTTGGTCTGGTATAGCTAAGCATATCTTAAATGACTACTCACTAGGTGTATTAGTCACATCCACTGGACTCAAGATTTCTGAGGTGACATAGGGTATACGCACCTTCTATTTGCCAGTATAAAATGAAGACTAATAGAGCTGGAAAATTATAAGCTGAAAATGTTGTGGTTTTTTTTGCCTCTTGCCTCCACTTCAGAATTTGTGAGAGTCCTTTCTCCTTTCCCAAACTTGGGTAATACGTGCCTTCTTGATGTATAACTTCTCCAGTAAAAACAGCAAGATGTGATATTATTTAAACTTTAAAATTATCACAAAAAATATTCACTCTTTTTTTTTTTTTTAATCCTCACCCGAGGACATTTTTCCATTTTTTGTTCAGGTAGAGTGGGAGGGAGAGAGAGGAAGGGAGAGAGAGAGAGAAACATCGATGTGAAAGGAACACATCGCGTGGCTGCCACCCGCACAACCGACCAGGGCCGGGGACAAACTGCAACCGAGGTACATGCCCTTAGCAGGAACCGAACCTGGGTCTCTCAGGACCGCAGGCCAATGCTCTAACTGCTGAGCCAAACCGGCCAGGGCAAAATATTCACTCTTTTAAGAGTTTTCCATTTTAGACCTCGCTTCTTATTATGAAATAAAGTATCCCAAGAGAGAACAGTTTAGAGAATCTTCAGAAAATGAGAAAAATAGTGGGGTGGGGGTGTTTTGGATTTTATAGACTGTAGAGTGAACTTGCTTTAGTTTTGGGAGGCACTTTTCTCAATAAGGGACTGGTAGAGCTTGTGACTTTCCATTTCCTTAACACAGAAACTTCCATGCCTGAAGAGTCACAGATACCAGATGTCCTATACTCCCAATCTGGCCTGGGTCTCCTAGTACCAAGGCCATCCATACACCTCCCTTACCCCACAACCACATGGACCAGGGGTGTGCCCTTCCCCAGTCCCCTCTTGGCTTCTTCTAGAAAATAATACATTATCCTGTGTTTCAGTTACTCCAAACAATCGAATCTGAAACCAGGGAAGCAGGGAAGAGCGGCTAAGTAGTAATCAGGTGAGGTACAATGACAGTAAGGTGGGGGTGGGGACCAGCAGCCCAAGTACACACATGGTTCCACTGTGAAAGCACCAGGGTAATTAGCAGATCTAATCCTGCCTATTTGCCCCAGTCCCTTAGAACGTGTCTAAATGAAGTTTAAAGACATTCATTGAAACAGTCATTCCTCTGCCTTATTGGCATTATTAATTGATATGCAATAAACAGCATATACAGGGGTGGGCAAAAGTAGGCTTAGAGTTGTTAATAAAAATACGTAATACAATAATTAATAATAATACAAGAATCAACTGCATTTCACGTACTCACTACAATAAACTTACTTTAGCCCACCCCTGTGTTTAAAATGTACAACTTGAGCCCTGGCTGGTTTTGCTCAGTGGTTAGAGTGTTGGCTCACAGACTGGGGAGTCCTGGGTTCGACTCCTGCAAGGGTACATACCTTGGTTGCAGTTTGTCCCTGACCCCAGATGGGGTTGTGCAGGTGGCAACCAATCGATGTGTTGCTCTCACGTCGATGTTTCTCTCTGTCTCTTCCTCCCTCTCTCCCTCTCGCTCTATCTGAAGATAAATGCAAAAATAACCTCAGGTGAGAATACAAAATAAATAAAATAAAATGTACAACTTGATAATTTTTGACATTTATATACATTTGTGAAAACATTACAAGTCAAGATACTGATGAACATATTCATCACCCTGCAAAGTATCCACATCCCCTTTGTTATCCCTCCCTCCCACTCCTGCCTCTCCCCAGGCAACCACTGATTTGTTTTCTGTCACTACAGATTAATTTTTATCTTCCACAATTTTACATAAGTAGAATCCCATTGTATGTGCCCTTTTTTGTCTAATTTCTTTCACTCAGCACAATTATTCAGAGATTCACCCATGTTATGGTATGTAGTTGCATGTATCACTCGTATGTTTGCTTTTGTTGCTGAGTAGTCTTCCATTGTATGGATGTGCCTATCAGAGAGGCATCTACTGAGCCCCTTCTGTGTGGCAGGTACTGTGCTAGACAGTGGAATATATAGTCACTAAAGGCTAAGTTCCAGCCCTCAAGGATGTATTTGGTGTCTAATATAGAGACAGAAAAGTAACTTAACAGTTATAGTAAAGTTTGATCTGTGCTGTAAAGAGGTAAACACAGGGCTTTTGGAGCCTCAGCAAAGACCACGTACATCAGACATGGGGGAGGTTCAGCAAAGCCTCTTGGAGGAACAGTGCTTGAGGTGCGTGTTGGTGAATAGGCAGAAATGTATTGCAAAGAGCTACAAGTAGTTCTATATGCTTGGCATGGTGGGGATAGATGAAGCTAGTTAGAAAAACCTTTAATGCTAGTTAAGAAACAAATTATATGTTGAAATTTATTAAAGGCATTTAAACAGCAGTTGAATGACATCATTAAATTTATTTTTTACTGTGGAAGACGACAAGGCCAGAGACAGGAAGACCAATTAAAAGGCTATCAAAGTAGACTGTATGAGAGGGGATGGAGGCTTAGGAGAGGGGATGGAGGCTTAGGCTCAGGTGGTAGATGTGGAGACTGGAAAGACCAAAAAGGAAATGATAGAGACAGAGGAAAGAACTCTAAGTATGTGATTGACTAAATGTGTGGGGAAGAGTCCAGTATATTTCACAGGTGAGGCCTGAGCAACTAGGTAAATAGACAATGATTAGGAAGTGAAAGTAGGGTTGGGGAAGATGACAAATTCATTCTAATATTTGAGTTCAAGGTTGTGTGAGACATTCAAGGGAGAAGTGCAGAATTTAGGTGGATGTAAATGTGGGTTTAGACTGTGAAGTTTGGAGATGAAGACATACTTTTCCTCATACTTGCAGGCTTGAAGGAGAAAGAGCATAGACAACGGAAAAGAACAAAAGGCTTAAAATGCAGCTCTGGGAAAGACTGCGGGGGGGGGGGGGGGGAATTAGCGCATGTATCTTATGCATTTCTTTTTGCTACTTAATTAGCTTGTAAGTCCTGAAGGAAAAGGCTTTGCCTTAAACTTTTCAGTAACTCGGTGCCTCTGACAGAGAAGGGGTTCAGAACTAATTCATTATTTGCAAATTAGGAATATGGTCAGTCTTGGTCTCTGAGAGACTGATCCATGTGACGTACTAAAATGTTGAAGCAATTGGTTTGTGAGGGGTAGGGCATGAGTTCTCACCACCAACACACAGTTGTGATCAATTTCTGTTGAGTAGGAGCCACACTGCTAGTTACAGAATTTTCTGATATTTGATTACATATATAAAGGGGAACAGTGCTTCCAGCTTCAAATCCAGAAAGGTGACTTCAACAGAACCCACGATGGTCAAGGGCAGCACTGGATTTAAATATATAGCTAAGCACAAATTCAGACAGCATGCCGAAAATCCAATTTTGCCATTTTTTCCCATATCATGCAGAACTTAGCAGGTGACAATTTAAATACAGTTTTGTTTAGATGATTAAGAATCCCAATTCTCTCAGCAGCACCACCACCAAAACTAGGAAAGCTTCCTACTCCAAATTAAATCTGAAGATTGTAAATATTCTTTCTTTAAACTAGACTAAGTTGAGGTAAATGAGTATAAGAAGGTAAGGAAAACTTCAGTAAATCAGTCCTCATTTTCACACTACGTCAAGTGGAGAAGCTGGGAGTTAAGCAATTTCTGCTGAGGAAAGTACTTCCCATGTAACATTCTTCCTCCATGATCTCTCCCCCATATATATTAAGGGATAACCTTTACTTGCCATAGAAAAACAGACACGTGAATTCAATACTCTCAGTTTGTTGATATGTTTTTAAAGCTGGTGAGCAAATAGAGTGCAGAATGTGAAATTTTTTTTGCTTCAACTGCCACATGGCTAGCTGGAAGCCGAGTTCAGGACATAGCAAACTGTCTTTTCTGATTTCCAAGAAAAGCAAAAATATTAAGTTATGTTGAGGGAGAAAAAATTCTTATTCTTGATATCATCAAACTGTTGTTTCCAAAATGCCCTCCAATTTCTTCTAGGTAGAGAACTTTACAAATGAAATAAAAACAAATGTAATTTTACCATCTCCAAAAGATGACTAACAATTTTCAAAGGAATTTCTTAGACTCTCTAATTTTTTTGGAGTTTCTTTTTTAAAATAGAAGACAACAATGTAGTTTGAGTTCCAAGTACACTTCCTAACTCTTTACAGAAATGTCATTTTGATATAACTTGATTTAAAAAATGTAATATGGCAAAATCTTTCTGAAGAAGATAAATTAAGAGAATATTCATTGTATTTCAAAAGCATTCTTTATATTACTAGACTCTTTAAAATACTATCCTCTTCAACAAACTTCAAAAATATTGATTTATCAAACTTTTGTTCATACAGCCTTTAGGGAAACACATGTATTGTGTAATCCAAGGCATGTGTGAATATTTTTTTTAAAACATAACAATGAGTCCATGATACTCAAGCTATCATTTTCTTCTGTTTCCCTTTACATCTTCCATTTCCTTCTAACATGCCAGAGCCTATCAACTCTATACCACCAGGAGATATTTTTTCCTGCTCTCCAGTCATATATTTTACTCCTTATAACACCATCACCATTTTTAAACCTCTAGAAAGCCAAATTTGATGCATTCAGGACTGACAGCATCACTCCATTTTCCAAACACTATTCCCCTTCTAAGTCCTGTTGAACCACCATGAACAGTAAGTCAGGAACCTGGGGTCATCTGTAAATCTACCACACCTTTAACCACAGATATAATTCAAGTCCTGTTACTTTCCACCTCCTTAATATTAGGAAAATGCATCCACTTCTCTCACCTCTCCACTTTTCATCTTAGTTCAGACCAACTCCACTCTCCTGACACAAATGCACAGCCAACTATCCAGTTGTACTCTTCTCTAATCTTCTCCTCATATCACAGCCAATGGTCTTGTAAACTGAAAATCTAAGTAAATCTGCTTAAATTATTTTTATAATTTTAATTTAATTTTTTCATTTTCTTTTTTAATTATAGTCGACACAAAATATTATATTAGTTTCAGTTATACAGCATAGTGGTTAGATATTTAATACCTTATGAAGTGATCACCCCAAATACATCTAGTACCCATCTGACACCACACATAGTTATTGCAATATTATCGACTATATTCCCTATGTTGCACTATACATGTCTGTGACTGTTTTTATAACTGGCAATTTGTACTTCTTAATCTTTCACCTTTTGCACCCATACCCTCAACTCCCCTCCCATATGGTGACCATGAATTTGTTCTCTATATCTATGAGTTTGTTTCTGTTTTGTTTGTTTGTTTTCCAGATTCCACATGTAAGTAGAATCATATAGTATTTGTCTTTCTCTGTCTGACTTACTTTACTTAGCATAATACCCATGTTGTCACAAATTATGAGTTCATTCTTTTTATGGCCAAGTAATATTCCATTGCATATATGTACCACATCTTCATTTTCCATTCATCTATTGATGGACACTTTGGTTGCTTCTATGTCTTGGCTATCATTGGTAAAGATGCGAAGAAAAAGGAAGCCTTGTGCACTGTTGGTGGGATTGTAATTAGTGCAGCCACTATGTGAAACTGTGTGGAGGTCCCTCAAAATTTTAAAAATAGAACAATCATATGACCCAGCAATTCCACATCTGGATACTCAGCCAAAGAAATTTAAAAAACTAATTTAAAAAGATATATGCACCCCCATGCTCATTGCAGCATTATTTACAATAGCCTTTTTCTACTCCTCCCCATATTCCTGTCTGAGCTTCAACCACACAAAGCTACCTGCAGCCCCTTGTGCGAACCCTCACTGTCCCTTCAGTTGTTCTGCCTAAAATGAATTTGTGACTCTCTTAAACTCTTTCCCAACTACTTCTGCTTACTTGCCCTTGATGTCTCATTTCAGGATGTCACCTTTACAGAATGCTTCTTCTAACTAGTCTCTACCCCTTACATACAGAAGACAGTGCCCCTCCTACGTGCTCTGGAAGTCCCTGTGGTTACCCAGACTACAACACTTATCCCCCTTTATTGTAATTACTTGTTAACTTGCCTGTCTCCTCCTTTAGACTACCAGCTTCTTGGAGGTAGGGACTGTGCCTTTCTTTCATTACCTCCCCAGTGCCAAAAACAAAGTCTAACACACAGTAGACACTCAGCAGTTAGAGGAATAAATAAAAGTATGTAAAAAAAAAAAAGACATAAGCCAAGGATGAAAGGAAAATTTCCCCATTTTGTTATTCATGGTATTTTTAATTCTATGTATTTTAACATTTCTTTTTTATATAACATCATGATCTTAGTTTCCCAACATATAAAAATTTTAAAACAAAAATACAAAATGTTAATTTTGCATTACTTATTTGAACACAAACATAAGCAGATATATTTATATATATATATTATATATGTATATATATACATATGTGTGTGTATATATACACACATGTGTGTGTATATATGTGTGTGTGTATATATATACACATACATATATATATTTATATATATATATATATAATATACCTGCTTATGTTTGTGTTCAAATAAGTAATACAAAATTAACATTTTGTATTTTTGTTTTAAAATTGTTGAAAAATATATATATGTATGTGTGTGTATATCTATATATACACACACATACATATATATATTTCCCAAACATTATCCCAACAGAAAAGCCTTTCCTTTATAAAAAAAAATAAATAAATATGAAGATGACCAAGATATAAAACATTAAACAGAATATCGGGGAGATGAAAAGGAAGACACTCTTGTTCCCTACTACCTCTCCCCACAGCCTTCTGCTCCTAAAATGCCAGGGAGTCCATGGATCATAGGTTTAAAACTACTTGTTTGTGAGATCTCCAAATACCCCTTTCAAATCTGAACTTACATGATTCTAAAATTTACAAACATTTCTGTGTATGCAATTCTCTAGAGAAGAAAGGCTAAATAATCAAATTTCTTTTCTGGCACTTTCCAGGGAATATGACAGTGTGTGGTGTAATACAGGTGTGTTTTAAATTACCACTGTTATGAAGGAGAGATCTCTGGGAATCATTATCATAGAATTAATGGAATCTATAATGTTTTTGTAATTATTTTTTTAATCCATTACTTTCCATTATTTAAAGGAGTCTGTGAGAGCATGTATAGTTGAAAGAAAAGACCAACTGCAGGGAAAAAACTTCACTAACATTTCAAAATTGGAAAGTGAAGAGAGTGCATTTCATGGAGAACCACAAAATAATGACAGGAACTCAGTTTGAAGAAACCCCAAGACATTCAGAGACTCAAAGTAATGAGTTTAATTCCCCAAAGTCTCAAGCAGTTTCCACCCCAGGGTAACAAAAACAAGAACTCATGTTTGTTTGTCTTGGAATCTCCATTTGGAACTGGAAGGTCAGGCTCTGAACAGCAAAGCCATTGTTCAACGTCACTCATACTGATCATGGTGCAGCACCTGACGAGGAATTAGGAAACCTGGGTTCTCCATCTGACTCTCTGATCAACTCACTCTGGGGTTTTTGAAGAGACCCAGTTTCTCCACTCTAGAGCATCTGTGAAATGATCTTTCCCCTCTGGATGATGGAGGAATTACAGGAATTATGTCATGCCCCAGTACTTGGAAATATGCTAAAGATGGCCATGCTGATACTTTACTACCAATGCTTTCATTTCAATACTAAAAATAACAAGTTATCACTTTACTGAAGGATTAATCTGTGCCAGGACCTAGTTTAAATGCTTTACATAAATTTGTTTGCTTAATCCTTACAACAACTCTGTTAGTTAGGTATATTATAATCTTCATGTTGCAAATGATGCAGCAAAAATTATAAAGAAATTGAGTAACTTGCCGAAAGTCCCACAGCTAGTCAGGGCAGATCGCTAATGCAGGTGGTCTGCCCTCACTGTCTCACCACAGAAGCTGTCAAGTTTTCCCAGACCTATCACTAAGAATAGGAAGGCCAGAGCATATATGATGTCTTAGTTGCCTGTCTAATCCAGTGATTTTCAACCAGTGTGCTACAAGAATTTCTAAAACATGCAATACCTGACTGTTTAGTCAGGGGCACTGACCTCTTTTCCCTGAGATTGTCAAATAAAAATTTTTAAAATGACAACCTCCAACACAACAATAGTTGTCTGGCATAAATGAATAAAAATTATAACTATTTTTTGTCAGATCAGCAAAAAATATATTTGTTGGTGTGCTGCAGAATTTTAGTAATTAGTTTGTGTGTGCCATGAAATAAAAAAGGTTGAAAATCACTGGTCTAATCAGATTAACTGGTTTACTCGAAAACTGTTATAGACTATGACATATAGTGTCCTTACATTTTTCTCTTCCCCTAAAGAAGGATGCTAATGCTTTGCATCATGTAGATAGTTGGGGGAAAGGGTTTTAAATAGCTTCAAAATGGCATTTTTAACTAAGTTGAACTACCTCAATACACATGTTTTTAGAAGTCATTTAGGGACTTCTGGTCAAGATGGCAATAGAGGTAAATGCAATACTCGAATTCTCCCACAACCACATCAAAATGACAACTAAACTACAGAAAAATCATCCTTCAGAACAGCCTGAAATCTAGATGAATATAAGTGCTACAACTAAGAATTAAAAGAAGCCACATGGAGACTGGTAGAAGGGGCAGAGATGTGGAATGGGTTGGTCCCACACCCACATGTGGTAGATAAAAATCAGGAGCACCCCCCTTCCCAAGGAGTAAGGGTCCCAGCCCCACACCCATCCTCCCAGCCCAGGGTTCAAGAGCCAGGAAGAGTAGTCTCCATAACTTCTGGCTGTAAAAATCAGCAGCGATGGAGGCTGAGGGAGATGGGAGAGGAAGGCTTCTTGAGTCCCAGGCAGTTCCTCTTAAAGGGTTCATGCACAGACTTACTCAGACTCACTCCCTCTGAGCTCCAGCACTGGGCAGCAGCTTGAAAGGAACCAGGGACATATGAAAGGAACTGAATTGTCTGTTAGCAGAAGCCATTTTCCTCTTCTGAGATCTATCCCCCATAGAGCCAGCAGGAGGGTTCAATTTCTGAGTCTCCATCAACCTGGATCACACTGTTTGCCCTGACATTTTGATTTCCTGAAATCCCCACCTCAACCAACTTTCAGGGCCACCCATGTCATTTCCAGTGGCTTTTCCATACAAATGGCCTCTCATGCCTAATGCTTTGGACTTTCCTAAAATCTCTCAAACCAGCAGCATCTGGCCTCTGCATACCCTGTGCTTCTTGCTAAGTGACCTCATGCCCAACACTAGCAGCAGCTGGCTTTGGTTCACAGTTTGGCCTTTCCTAGGTACCTCTAAGCCCAATCACTTGTAGCTCATGCCAGGTGGCCCCAGGCTGGGCACAGGTGGTGGTTGACCTTGCTCTTCCCAGAAGGCCCAGAACCAGTGCACCTGGTGGACAGCTTTAGACCATGCTGGATTACAACCCTACTACTTCCATGAATGACACACTCAAGGGGCAGACTTGCTGAGTACCAAAACCCCACTGAAGCAAGCCTTACTCCATAGGGTCAACTCCTGCACAGCAGCTCCTTTGCTATAGTTGTAGGCAGTCCTTGAAGCCAATCAGCCTGAGGGATCAATCCCTCTCAGTGATACCAACAGCAATCAAGATTCAACTACAACAGGACAGTGCACACAAGGTTGCACCTGGAGTGCCCAACTCAGGTGACTGGGAAGGCTGTGCCACTAAGCCCTACAGGACAACTACTACACACGGCCATTCTACCAAGTCCAGGAGACACAGCAGCTCTACTTAATACATGAAAACATACATTAATATATCATTAATACATAGAAACAAACATAAGGAAGCAGCCAAAATGCGGACACAAAGAAACAAGTCCCAAGTGAAAGAACAGGAGATAACTCCAGAAAAAGATCTAAATAAAATGGAGGCA